AAACAAATATCAACAAATATAAACAATATATAAAAAAAGTAAACAAACATACAGAATCTGATATCATTTGACCAACGTAATGAAGACTATGGAACCATGTCTTAGATTCCACAAAAGCAACAGTAAAGTCAAATCCAGGACTGAGATGATCAATTTTCTCAGGATACATTAACTTTGATCTACAAAACAACATAAACTTAAGTTAAAAACAAAGATATAAGAAAATCTATAATATATATAATGACAATTTTAAATAGACCTCTTCCGCTTATACGCTTTTTCATCGATCCAAATATTAAAAGACGAAAGAACATCATATGCTGGGACACAGACTGCTTCATCGAGAAAAGGACATGGAACCAGGGCAACAGAAGACTGTGGAGACTCACATCCTGAAGTAAACTCACCAACAAAAGGAGATTTGACGAAAACACTAGGCTTAACACTCCTTTTATGCTTAACATTGGATTCATCTGTATGAACGACTGATATAGGTGTAATAAAAGGAACTAAAGCCATCATAGGATTTGTAGAACCCGAAGCAGGATCTGTGCTAGACAACTACAAAAATAAAAGTGAATATTAAAACAAACATAAAATGAGAAAAAAAGCTAAAGAAAAATGAAAATAAATTCAATACCTTGGCACTCTTAAAATGTGAAACAAGGGAATCCAGTTCAACATAAAAAGATTCATCATTAACACAATCATCACAGGGAGAAACTGGTTGTTGATCAATTGGTTGATTCTCAACAGTCATCATATCAATAACAGTAGAAAAAACCATCTTTTGGCAATGCTCCAACAACATAGAATCAAGTTCACAATGCTGCATATCAGTAACACTAGATAAAACAAGATTATGAACGTAGTCCATCAGCACGGAATCATGCTCATTTGACATGGAAGTAGTAACAGTTGAAAAAACTAGACTATTGATGAAATTGAATAAGACATCAGAATCTTCAGACGAAACAATAGCTGCAACACTATCAGACACCAACTCCTGTAAAAAAAATATACTTCATAAACTAGTAATGACAAAAACCTTAAACCAAAGAAGGAAACCAAATAAAACAATGTAAAACATAATGCAACATATGAAAACCAAACCTGTTGATTATCTATGGCATTCACACAAGGATCAGTAGAAAATATTGGATCATGTAAGAGACCACACTCAAGACCAACATGAACAAAGTCATCAGTAGCAACAAAGCGAGACTCAATCTCATTAAGAGAAAGAACAATTGTAGCATCATCTTCAGAAACATTGTTTTCAGAAACTGGAGTTTGTCTACAAGGATTTTGGTGTGAGGATACAAAACCTGAAACTGGCTGCTTGGAAGATTGAAATTGATTAAGTGTTATAACACGATCAAGCTTCTGTTCTAAAACAGTAAACTTTCGCTGAACAAATTCCTTGAAATCTGAAAGTTTACTATCTAGACGTTTTTCAAAGTCAAATAAAGCAGAACTTGATACAGCATCGCCAGAAAAAACATGAGGCACCTCCCCAGCATTGGAAGTAGAAGGAACACTTTGGGGACTTAAGATATTAGCAGTAAACAAAGCATCCAATTCAGGGGATTCTTTTTCAACATCAGAAAGAACAAGATTGTGTAACTTCAACTGCATAATAGAAAAACAAAAGACAAAATTGTGAAAATCAAATAAAAGATTAATAAAAACATAACACAAGGAAAACAAGTATTTCAAAAATACCTGAAAAGCAGATAAACAAAGAAGTTCCATATTCAATTTCTTGAATGTGAGAGGAACATATGAGTGCCAAGACAGTATACGGGGAAATAGAGAACCCGATCTTGAAGCAAAAACACCATCACAGTAATCACAGCATTCATAAAACCACACCTGAAGTGCTAAAGGAAATCCTAGAATACAGTAAAAGAAGTAATCACTTTTTATAGTATCCGCTCTCACGAGTCTTCCCTTCAAATTTTGTAAAGTTATATAAAAAAGGTCCTTCCCCCAAGGGTACTGATAAGTCCATTTCTGTACTTATTTTTCTTATCAAATTTAAGCGATTTTCAATTGAAAATAGAAGGAAAAGGCATATTTTAAATATTTTGGTTCAAGTTTCATGAAATCAGGTGAAAATCACATTCATAATATATTTGCCGGAATTTCGGGTCAATTGAGCACAAAATGAGTCAATTTGAGTAACAAATGAAGTCATACCGGAAGAAGTAAGCATTTTTTCAAAGTGATCCAGAAGACAATCTTGGAGAGCAGGAAACGCAGGAATTACCAGACAAAATTGGCAGAAGGCGCCCAAATAGGCGCCCAAAATGGCCGCCTGGTTGGCCGCCTGCGGGAAAAATCAGAAGTCAACCTCGCTTTGACTCGGAACCAGGAAAAGACCGAAGGCTGCCGACACGAGGAAGAAGGCGGCCGCCTACGGTGACCGCCTGCGGCAGAAGACGACGAAACAACCGCCGGCCGGTGGGATTTGACGGCAGGCGGCCAGACAGGAACGGCAGGCGGCCGCCTGCTGGACCGCCTGCGGCGGCCGGGATCCGCCGCGATCCGATCTGACGGCGAAAAGACGGTAGGCGGCCAGTTTTGATGGAAGGCGGCCGCCCTCTGTGGCCGCCTACTGTAACACCTCGGCCCCGCAGGGACCCGAGGTAGTTACTCCGGACCAATAGTACTATCCTCACAAACCGCCACTAGCCTTTTACACGCACTTTGTCCTCACTCGTGCGCGCCCTGAGAAACTTCCCAGGGGGTCACCCATCCCAAGACTACTCCCGTGCAAGCACGCTTAACTTTGGAGTTCTTAGCGGATGAGCTCCCTTAAAAGGAGATGCACCTTGTTGGTATGAGTAGTACTATTAATCCGTTTATATTAAATCTCAAGTGTTACAATCACCCCCACTTAGGATCGCAACGTCCTCGTTGCGCCCTTAAACCAATCTCAATCAAACCCCAGAATCTTTTCCCCTACTAAGTGCCCGCCCGATATCCAACGGGTCAGCACACTGTCGCAGGATTGCTCTGATACCACCTGTAACACCCCGGCCCCGCAGGGACCCGAGGTAGTTACTCCGGACCAATAGTACTATCCTCACAAACCGCCACTAGCCTTTTACACGCACTTTGTCCTCACTCGTGCGCGCCCTGAGAAACTTCCCAGGGGGTCACCCATCCCAAGACTACTCCCGTGCAAGCACGCTTAACTTTGGAGTTCTTAGCGGATGAGCTCCCTTAAAAGGAGATGCACCTTGTTGGTATGAGTAGTACTATTAATCCGTTTATATTAAATCTCAAGTGTTACATAAGATGCTTTGCAAGAGAATTATCCATTATAATAAATAAAGAGAGGCTAAGAACAAGTGGATCTTTTGTTCAGAGAGTAACCTAAAAGATTACAAGAACAAGGAGGCTCTGATACCACTTGTTGGTCCCGATTAAATGGTAATCAGTCTAGAGGGGGGGGGGGGGTGAATAGACTGATTGGTTTTTCAAATTTTTCTCTAAGTCCAAACTGACTTATCAGAGAAGGTCTTACTCTGGTAACAGAGGAAGGCTGGTTCTGATATCAGAACTGGCCTTGGCAGCGGATTCTGATCTGTCCGGGTAGCCTCAGAAACACTAAGGCAAATGCCTTTCTGATAACTCTGAAAACAAGATCTGCTGAACACAGATTCCAAGTCTTAGAGTTAATCAGTTAATGTCCTAAGTGCAGAAATATAAATTGCAGTATAGTAAATGACACCGGATATTTTTATAGTGGTTCAAGGAACAACGCGTTCCTCTAGTCCACTGTTCCACTAGCTTTGAAGTAGATCGGTTACAAAGCTTAGTTCCTAGCACTTAAGAAGTTCTCCACGCCTTCTTCAAGCCTAGCTGCCACCCAGGATGCAGTTCCACGTCCTGATGGCTGGTCCTTTCACTCAGCTTCCCGGAAGTATCACCACTTCACTACTGCAGTTACTTGGACGCCCTTCTTTTCAGAAGATCCTTTGAAAAACAAAGTTTTTCCTCCAACTTGCTTCGTCACAAATGATATTTGATGAAGTTCTTGAAGAGTTGAAGAACAGGATGAACTTTGCTCTTGTTGGGAATGAAGATTGTGAGGTTGAATCTTCCCAACGTAAGCTTTTTCTTGTTTTTGTGTTGTGGAGTTTGAATCTCAAGAAAGCTTGTAGTATAATGTGCAAAAGTTGTAGCAAAGTTCTGCGAGAAGTTATTTTCCTGTTCTTCGGTGAGTAGCTTATATACTGAGGTTGTCTGCCCGTTGGAGGAGGAGACAACTGCATTGAATGCGCGTACAGTTGACTTGACCCACTAATTTGGAAGCTTTCTATTTTTATAATATATCTTCCAGATTTCTCGGTCAATCATTTGCAATCAATCCAAAGCGTATCAGGCTCATTTAATGAGCATTAAATGCTTTCCTTGGACGGAATATCTTCTAGCCGTTGATGAAATTCCCAGCCGTTGGAAGTAGCCTTGAAATTCTTCTAAGTGTTAGTCGGATTCTGATACGTTGGATTCTGATGACTTTCTGATGAGTAGCTCTGATGTAGTTTCAAGTCGAGCTATGATGCGGGAACTCTGATGATTGTCAGATGTTGAGTTCTGATGCAGTTATTCATCGAACTCTGATGCTTCTCTGATGAGCAACTCTCATGAACTGCTGAGAGCAACTCTGATGGTTCTCTGATGAACGACTCTGAAGGTAGTTCTCTTATAGCAGCTCTGATCAGATCCACATAGCAACTCTGATAGTCGACTACACTAATACTTACATCAGAAAATTCTAATACATGAAATCTAATTTGGGGGTACTTAAAAATTCTAATCTAAATAAACCTAGCATCATCAAAATCTAATTACATTTATTCCTTACAGTATTATATGAAAAACTATTTTTAGTCAAACCTGATTATTTTACGGGGTTGGGTAGTACTTACTTAGCTTTAAAGCTAATTTTTGTTTCCTTTTCTTTGTTTTGTTTTCTGCACTTTATTTGTGCAGGTGATGATGCTTATGTGGACTGATGATTGTATGACCACGAGAGCGGTTTAGAGATGCCTTAGTCAAACCTAGTCATAAATAAACAATTTAATTATGTTGAACACTTGTTTTACTCCATTTAGTTTTGGAATAGCCTGTGCATTCGGTTAAGAGATGACCGGATGTGGCGGTAACACCCATTTCCCATTTAATGTTATTTCCGCTGCAAAACTTTTTATCTGTTTTGAAAGAATAAATCAAGTTTATTATCAATAAATATATTATTTCAAGTATTATTTTGGGAGGGAAAATTGGGGGTGTTACAAATTGGTATCAGAGCAATGATTTTTTCTGGGGAATTTTTCAAAGCAGTTTTCCGTTTTCTAAACAATTTTTCAAAAGTTTTCTAATGTTTCTTAAATTTTCTTAAGTGATACCAACAAATTGGTATGAGAGACTATGGTTTTCAAATAGGATTTTTCAAAGTGTTTCTGTATTTATCACAAAAAAAAGCGTTTCTGTAACTTACTAGGAAAATGAATGACTAGGGAATAAATAAGACCTTTTAGGACGTGGTGAGGATTGTTATATTTCAATATTTTGTATGATTGAATCGTGCAAATTTGAAATTAAACCCTTGATGCTTATGTGAAGTGTTTGACATGCTTGAATATGGTAGAATTTGATACGGATTTAGAGCTTGAACTTGTATGTATACTTAAGTTAGCTTGTATGTATACTTAAGTTAGCATAGTAACCTAGCTCTTAAGGAGACCGGCCTTTACCTTGGTATGTAAGTGATATGTCAGACTAGAAGATAAGAGATAGCAAACGTTTTCTGGAGTTACTTGGCTAAGTTAGAATTTTATAGTTACGAGAGCGTAACATCTTTTAAGGAGGGTAGAATGTGACACTCTTTAAATTTAAAAAAAAAAAAACTAACTTAGATGCGGTATCTGTTAATTGTATTTATAGATATTTCTCATAGCTTATGTTTCGGGACGAAACATCTTTTAAGGAGGGTAGAATGTGACACCCTAAAAAAAAGAATTAAATAAAATTAAAAATTTAGAAGTCAAATAAAATTTATAGTTTAATAATGAAGTGAAATTTCGATGTGGCGACATTTTTTTAGTGAGATAGAAATGTATCAACAAAAGTGACATTTTTGTAACAAGCGATAATTATACATATGACATAAATAATAAAAGTGACATTTTAACATTTTTAATTCAAAAGTATTAATTAATAATATAAGTATAAAAATACATCAAATATCAAACGAAAATAAAAGTGTTAGAAAGTGGTCTTTTCAAGTCTTGTAATGAGCCGTATAATCCATGATACACACATATAAATAATAGGCCTGCAATGACAATAATATAGATAGCAATAATGTAGACACAGTACCATAATAGCAATAATATACACAACATACAATGAACATGCAAACCCGGCCATGTGCTTGCCAACTATTCACATACATACATACGTACTATGTAACCATCAACCAAGCCACTAACAAGGCATATGTGTATGTCAAAATTAATTGAATGATGCCAAAGAGGCAAAGACCCATCCTTCCATTATGCGAGTACACATAACCTTTCACTCAAACTTATGCGAGTACTAGATATTTATATACCATCCTTAACAACCGCCAATGTATCCCTTGCGAGCAAGAAGAAAGAAAATAAAAGGGTGAAGCCACTGTTAATTACCACCTCGAGTCGCCAGAAGGAAGGGCATCGGAGTATTAACACGCTTACCGATGCCGGAACGCAGAGGGAAAACCAATTATGCCGGAGCTCACCGGACTGGTTCTCCACGCCGGAAGGAGCAAGACTGCCGAAGACCGGACTTACGACCGAGCACTCCTTGACGCCGGGTTCCTTCGCTGGACGTCTGACTGGTCGCGGCAAAAGTGGGAAAGAAGCCGGAGAGCTGGCCTACGTCACACCTGTACCGACTGCGTGAGGAAGAAGAGAGCTCGATCGGTATATTCTCTTAGTTTGTTTTGTCTAATAAATTACTAATGAGCTGATTAAATAGATTAATTGGTATAAACGATTAATTGAGAATAAGGATATAATTTAATATAAGTGGGTAACGTACGTGTTTAACCCTGCATGATGAAGAGCTAAACTTAAATCGTAAATTGGATAATAATTAGGCATATTGATAATGATATACGTATAAGGGATAAATCGGATAAATTATTGATAATAAAATAAGTGACTAATTATATCATTTTAATTAAAAAGGTGATTATCTAGAGACTAAAATAGAAGACGAGAAGTAGAAGCTTTGATTTCGAGGTAAGTTTCTCTGCCGATCCAAAATGGTTTCCTCGTATTATATGTTATTATGTGAGTAAAATATGAATTTTGAATATGTATTATTTGAAGTGACATTAAATTTAGTATTTGAGAAAGTTGAGATATGGGGTATTAAATATTTTTAAACACCATTGAGAATATTTGGAGACTTGAGAAATATTCTGTGCTAGGTGATTATTATGTGCTATGTGATTATGTTTTGAGTTCTTAAATTATGTATATGTGCTATTTAAAGAGATTAAATCTATAGTATTTGAGAACTACAAATTATGTACTTTTGGGGTATTAAATATTTTTAAATACCGTTGAGACTACTTAGAGAGGTTGGAAATATTTTGAAGTATATCTTGATACAAGATGAAAATTAACATTTTCATAAGAGGTGAGCACCCCGGGAGAAATCCGTGGTGTCGGTTTTTCACATCCGGATAAATGTGGAGGATGGTTAGGGCTACTATTACTTGAAGAGAACAAGTTTAGTAGTCGTTTCAATTCAAGAGATAGTGATGGGAACCGGATTCCGGGATGAGTTCGTAAATAACAATGACTCATTGGGCTTCGGGCATAAGTATCCGAAAGTACCCCTCATCTTAAAAGAAAGTAGGAGATTTTGGTTTTGGAAAGAGGAAGACTATGGAGATTATTTTCAAAGAGAATTGAAAAGAATTTTTGGTGGAGTGTGTCATTTTTATATAGTATTATATGAAAAACTATTTTTAGTCAAACCTGATTATTTTACGGGGTTGGGTAGTACTTACTTAGCTCTAAAGCTAATTTTTGTTTCCTTTTCTTTGTTTTGTTTTCTGCACTTTATTTGTGCAGGTGATGATGCTTATGTGGACTGATGATTGTATGACCACGAGAGCGGTTTAGAGATGCCTTAGTCAAACCTAGTCATAAATAAACAATTTAATTATGTTGAACACTTGTTTTACTCCATTTAGTTTTGGAATAGCCTGTGCATTCGGTTAAGAGATGACCCGATGTGGCGGTAACACCCATTTCCCATTTAATGTTATTTCCGCTGCAAAACTTTTTATCTGTTTTGAAAGAATAAATCAAGTTTATTATCAATAAATATATTATTTCAAGTATTATTTTGGGAGGGAAAATTGGGGGTGTTACAAATTGGTATCAGAGCAATGATTTTTTCTGGGGAATTTTTCAAAGCAGTTTTCCGTTTTCTAAACAATTTTTCAAAAGTTTTCTAATGTTTCTTAAATTTTCTTAAGTGATACCAACAAATTGGTATGAGAGACTATGGTTTTCAAATAGGATTTTTCAAAGTGTTTCTGTATTTATCACAAAAAAAAGCGTTTCTGTAACTTACTAGGAAAATGAATGACTAGGGAATAAATAAGACCTTTTAGGACGTGGTGAGGATTGTTATATTTCAATATTTTGTATGATTGAATCGTGCAAATTTGAAATTAAACCCTTGATGCTTATGTGAAGTGTTTGACATGCTTGAATATGGTAGAATTTGATACGGATTTAGAGCTTGAACTTGTATGTATACTTAAGTTAGCTTGTATGTATACTTAAGTTAGCATAGTAACCTAGCTCTTAAGGAGACCGGCCTTTACCTTGGTATGTAAGTGATATGTCAGACTAGAAGATAAGAGATAGCAAACGTTTTCTGGAGTTACTTGGCTAAGTTAGAATTTTATAGTTACGAGAGCGTAACATCTTTTAAGGAGGGTAGAATGTGACACTCTTTAAATTTAAAAAAAAAAAAACTAACTTAGATGCGGTATCTGTTAATTGTATTTATAGATATTTCTCATAGCTTATGTTTCGGGACGAAACATCTTTTAAGGAGGGTAGAATGTGACACCCTAAAAAAAAGAATTAAATAAAATTAAAAATTTAGAAGTCAAATAAAATTTATAGTTTAATAATGAAGTGAAATTTCGATGTGGCGACATTTTTTTAGTGAGATAGAAATGTATCAACAAAAGTGACATTTTTGTAACAAGCGATAATTATACATATGACATAAATAATAAAAGTGACATTTTAACATTTTTAATTCAAAAGTATTAATTAATAATATAAGTATAAAAATACATCAAATATCAAACGAAAATAAAAGTGTTAGAAAGTGGTCTTTTCAAGTCTTGTAATGAGCCGTATAATCCATGATACACACATATAAATAATAGGCCTGCAATGACAATAATATAGATAGCAATAATGTAGACACAGTACCATAATAGCAATAATATACACAACATACAATGAACATGCAAACCCGGCCATGTGCTTGCCAACTATTCACATACATACATACGTACTATGTAACCATCAACCAAGCCACTAACAAGGCATATGTGTATGTCAAAATTAATTGAATGATGCCAAAGAGGCAAAGACCCATCCTTCCATTATGCGAGTACACATAACCTTTCACTCAAACTTATGCGAGTACTAGATATTTATATACCATCCTTAACAACCGCCAATGTATCCCTTGCGAGCAAGAAGAAAGAAAATAAAAGGGTGAAGCCACTGTTAATTACCACCTCGAGTCGCCAGAAGGAAGGGCATCGGAGTATTAACACGCTTACCGATGCCGGAACGCAGAGGGAAAACCAATTATGCCGGAGCTCACCGGACTGGTTCTCCACGCCGGAAGGAGCAAGACTGCCGAAGACCGGACTTACGACCGAGCACTCCTTGACGCCGGGTTCCTTCGCTGGACGTCTGACTGGTCGCGGCAAAAGTGGGAAAGAAGCCGGAGAGCTGGCCTACGTCACACCTGTACCGACTGCGTGAGGAAGAAGAGAGCTCGATCGGTATATTCTCTTAGTTTGTTTTGTCTAATAAATTACTAATGAGCTGATTAAATAGATTAATTGGTATAAACGATTAATTGAGAATAAGGATATAATTTAATATAAGTGGGTAACGTACGTGTTTAACCCTGCATGATGAAGAGCTAAACTTAAATCGTAAATTGGATAATAATTAGGCATATTGATAATGATATACGTATAAGGGATAAATCGGATAAATTATTGATAATAAAATAAGTGACTAATTATATCATTTTAATTAAAAAGGTGATTATCTAGAGACTAAAATAGAAGACGAGAAGTAGAAGCTTTGATTTCGAGGTAAGTTTCTCTGCCGATCCAAAATGGTTTCCTCGTATTATATGTTATTATGTGAGTAAAATATGAATTTTGAATATGTATTATTTGAAGTGACATTAAATTTAGTATTTGAGAAAGTTGAGATATGGGGTATTAAATATTTTTAAACACCATTGAGAATATTTGGAGACTTGAGAAATATTCTGTGCTAGGTGATTATTATGTGCTATGTGATTATGTTTTGAGTTCTTAAATTATGTATATGTGCTATTTAAAGAGATTAAATCTATAGTATTTGAGAACTACAAATTATGTACTTTTGGGGTATTAAATATTTTTAAATACCGTTGAGACTACTTAGAGAGGTTGGAAATATTTTGAAGTATATCTTGATACAAGATGAAAATTAACATTTTCATAAGAGGTGAGCACCCCGGGAGAAATCCGTGGTGTCGGTTTTTCACATCCGGATAAATGTGGAGGATGGTTAGGGCTACTATTACTTGAAGAGAACAAGTTTAGTAGTCGTTTCAATTCAAGAGATAGTGATGGGAACCGGATTCCGGGATGAGTTCGTAAATAACAATGACTCATTGGGCTTCGGGCATAAGTATCCGAAAGTACCCCTCATCTTAAAAGAAAGTAGGAGATTTTGGTTTTGGAAAGAGGAAGACTATGGAGATTATTTTCAAAGAGAATTGAAAAGAATTTTTGGTGGAGTGTGTCATTTTTATATAGTATTATATGAAAAACTATTTTTAGTCAAACCTGATTATTTTACGGGGTTGGGTAGTACTTACTTAGCTCTAAAGCTAATTTTTGTTTCCTTTTCTTTGTTTTGTTTTCTGCACTTTATTTGTGCAGGTGATGATGCTTATGTGGACTGATGATTGTATGACCACGAGAGCGGTTTAGAGATGCCTTAGTCAAACCTAGTCATAAATAAACAATTTAATTATGTTGAACACTTGTTTTACTCCATTTAGTTTTGGAATAGCCTGTGCATTCGGTTAAGAGATGACCGGATGTGGCGGTAACACCCATTTCCCATTTAATATTATTTCCGCTGCAAAACTTTTTATCTGTTTTGAAAGAATAAATCAAGTTTATTATCAATAAATATATTATTTCAAGTATTATTTTGGGAGGGAAAATTGGGGGTGTTACAAATTGGTATCAGAGCAATGATTTTTTCTGGGGAATTTTTCAAAGCAGTTTTCCGTTTTCTAAACAATTTTTCAAAAGTTTTCTAATGTTTCTTAAATTTTCTTAAGTGATACCAACAAATTGGTATGAGAGACTATGGTTTTCAAATAGGATTTTTCAAAGTGTTTCTGTATTTATCACAAAAAAAAGCGTTTCTGTAACTTACTAGGAAAATGAATGACTAGGGAATAAATAAGACCTTTTAGGACGTGGTGAGGATTGTTATATTTCAATATTTTGTATGATTGAATCGTGCAAATTTGAAATTAAACCCTTGATGCTTATGTGAAGTGTTTGACATGCTTGAATATGGTAGAATTTGATACGGATTTAGAGCTTGAACTTGTATGTATACTTAAGTTAGCTTGTATGTATACTTAAGTTAGCATAGTAACCTAGCTCTTAAGGAGACCGGCCTTTACCTTGGTATGTAAGTGATATGTCAGACTAGAAGATAAGAGATAGCAAACGTTTTCTGGAGTTACTTGGCTAAGTTAGAATTTTATAGTTACGAGAGCGTAACATCTTTTAAGGAGGGTAGAATGTGACACTCTTTAAATTTAAAAAAAAAAAAAACTAACTTAGATGCGGTATCTGTTAATTGTATTTATAGATATTTCTCATAGCTTATGTTTCGGGACGAAACATCTTTTAAGGAGGGTAGAATGTGACACCCTAAAAAAAAGAATTAAATAAAATTAAAAATTTAGAAGTCAAATAAAATTTATAGTTTAATAATGAAGTGAAATTTCGATGTGGCGACATTTTTTTAGTGAGATAGAAATGTATCAACAAAAGTGACATTTTTGTAACAAGCGATAATTATACATATGACATAAATAATAAAAGTGACATTTTAACATTTTTAATTCAAAAGTATTAATTAATAATATAAGTATAAAAATACATCAAATATCAAACGAAAATAAAAGTGTTAGAAAGTGGTCTTTTCAAGTCTTGTAATGAGCCGTATAATCCATGATACACACATATAAATAATAGGCCTGCAATGACAATAATATAGATAGCAATAATGTAGACACAGTACCATAATAGCAATAATATACACAACATACAATGAACATGCAAACCCGGCCATGTGCTTGCCAACTATTCACATACATACATACGCACTATGTAACCATCAACCAAGCCACTAACAAGGCATATGTGTATGTCAAAATTAATTGAATGATGCCAAAGAGGCAAAGACCCATCCTTCCATTATGCGAGTACACATAACCTTTCACTCAAACTTATGCGAGTACTAGATATTTATATACCATCCTTAACAACCGCCAATGTATCCCTTGCGAGCAAGAAGAAAGAAAATAAAAGGGTGAAGCCACTGTTAATTACCACCTCGAGTCGCCAGAAGGAAGGGCATCGGAGTATTAACACGCTTACCGATGCCGGAACGCAGAGGGAAAACCAATTATGCCGGAGCTCACCGGACTGGTTCTCCACGCCGGAAGGAGCAAGACTGCCGAAGACCGGACTTACGACCGAGCACTCCTTGACGCCGGGTTCCTTCGCTGGACGTCTGACTGGTCGCGGCAAAAGTGGGAAAGAAGCCGGAGAGCTGGCCTACGTCACACCTGTACCGACTGCGTGAGGAAGAAGAGAGCTCGATCGGTATATTCTCTTAGTTTGTTTTGTCTAATAAATTACTAATGAGCTGATTAAATAGATTAATTGGTATAAACGATTAATTGAGAATAAGGATATAATTTAATATAAGTGGGTAACGTACGTGTTTAACCCTGCATGATGAAGAGCTAAACTTAAATCGTAAATTGGATAATAATTAGGCATATTGATAATGATATACGTATAAGGGATAAATCGGATAAATTATTGATAATAAAATAAGTGACTAATTATATCATTTTAATTAAAAAGGTGATTATCTAGAGACTAAAATAGAAGACGAGAAGTAGAAGCTTTGATTTCGAGGTAAGTTTCTCTGCCGATCCAAAATGGTTTCCTCGTATTATATGTTATTATGTGAGTAAAATATGAATTTTGAATATGTATTATTTGAAGTGACATTAAATTTAGTATTTGAGAAAGTTGAGATATGGGGTATTAAATATTTTTAAACACCATTGAGAATATTTGGAGACTTGAGAAATATTCTGTGCTAGGTGATTATTATGTGCTATGTGATTATGTTTTGAGTTCTTAAATTATGTATATGTGCTATTTAAAGAGATTAAATCTATAGTATTTGAGAACTACAAATTATGTACTTTTGGGGTATTAAATATTTTTAAATACCGTTGAGACTACTTAGAGAGGTTGGAAATATTTTGAAGTATATCTTGATACAAGATGAAAATTAACATTTTCATAAGAGGTGAGCACCCCGGGAGAAATCCGTGGTGTCGGTTTTTCACATCCGGATAAATGTGGAGGATGGTTAGGGCTACTATTACTTGAAGAGAACAAGTTTAGTAGTCGTTTCAATTCAAGAGATAGTGATGGGAACCGGATTCCGGGATGAGTTCGTAAATAACAATGACTCATTGGGTTTCGGGCATAAGTATCCGAAAGTACCCCTCATCTTAAAAGAAAGTAGGAGATTTTGGTTTTGGAAAGAGGAAGACTATGGAGATTATTTTCAAAGAGAATTGAAAAGAATTTTTGGTGGAGTGTGTCATTTTTATATAGTATTATATGAAAAACTATTTTTAGTCAAACCTGATTATTTTACGGGGTTGGGTAGTACTTACTTAGCTCTAAAGCTAATTTTTGTTTCCTTTTCTTTGTTTTGTTTTCTGCACTTTATTTGTGCAGGTGATGATGCTTATGTGGACTGATGATTGTATGACCACGAGAGCGGTTTAGAGATGCCTTAGTCAAACCTAGTCATAAATAAACAATTTAATTATGTTGAACACTTGTTTTACTCCATTTAGTTTTGGAATAGCCTGTGCATTCGGTTAAGAGATGACCGGATGTGGCGGTAACACCCATTTCCCATTTAATGTTATTTCCGCTGCAAAACTTTTTATCTGTTTTGAAAGAATAAATCAAGTTTATTATCAATAAATATATTATTTCAAGTATTATTTTGGGAGGGAAAATTGGGGGTGTTATAGTAAAAGGTACCAAAGTGGGAGTAAAACATAGGGTGCAAGCCTCAGCAAATAAAGTGGAAAGGAGGTCTTGGTAGGACCAATACCTCCAACATTCTCCACCTTATTGGTCCTAGGTGGTGTAGAGTAACAATACAAGGTTGTGACAAGACTCATCATCGCCGGGTCACCCGGAATATCAAAAGATAAAACGGGCAAACACTTTATTACACAACCCGCATTTATCCACAGTCAAAGTTTAACACGCGTTTACAAGACAAGTGCTTCTCAGCAGAAAGACACTTGGTACCCATATCCACGGGGTTAAACTCGGACGGGATCTTGCACAGCTTGACTCCACCTGCATCAACAATATCACGTATGAAATGGAACCTAACATCAATATGCTTAGTTCTATCATGAAATACAGGATTTTTGCAAAGTTGGATAGCCGATTGGCTATCCGAGAAAATGGTAACTCCCTTTTTGAGAAACCCAATTTCGGAGACAAGGCATTTGAGCCAGATGGCTTCCTTAAACGCTTCTGTGGCTGCAACATACTCAGGCTCAGTGGTAGAAAGGGCCACAATGGGCTGAAGTTGAGACTTCCAACTAATACAAGAGCCACACAAAGTAAAAACATAGGAAGTGGTCGACTTCCTGTTATCTCTATCATTTGCATAGTTAGAATCAACATAACCAATCAGTTCAATACCACTAGCACATTTAGAGAAAATTAATCCATGCTTCACAGTAGATATCAAATATCTAAGCAACCACTTAAGAGCATTCCAATGGGGCAAACCAGGGTTGGACATATATCTACTCAAGCAACTAACCGCATATGCAATATCAGGTCTAGTGCTAACCGAGCATATATCAATGTTGGGGAGTGTTACTAAGATGACAATTAGTTAACATCTTGACATTAGTTATAGTAATAAATATTTCTCCCTCTATGTTAATATTGGGGAGTGTTACTAAAATGACAATTAGTCAACATCTTGATATTAACTATAGTAGGATTCATCTTCTTTAATATTCTTCCTTGAGTATTAATTAATTCCTATTCATATTTCATATTAATATTTTGAACATTACTTAAAGGATCAACTAGTTTTGTTTCATATATTAATTATTATTAGAATCAATCGGTTAATACGCTTGTTATTAATTCGGTTCTTTCAATGGTAGTAAACTTGGATTGTTAATGCATGCATCTCATGGTTAATAAGCCAAGGGGAATTAATTATATTGATTAAACCAATAAACCGCTTGTGTTGAGGTTATCAATCTCGATCGTTTTCATCTTAAGTTTATTGCTACTATCAAGTTTATATACGGCGCTTGTTCTATATTGACTCGATAGTAAGTTTTATTAATGAACGCATCTCGTTATTAATAACTACCCTCGATGAACTGGATATACTCCTCGATTGAGTATTCGAGAGGAAGATAGTTAAAGATATAACCGGGATCGACGAACATTTCATTAAGTGGATAAAAGCAAAAACCAAGCCTCCATCTCTATTAATTAAACAATATAAGTCGTTCAACTTAGTGTTTAAATACAATTTAAATTCATCACTCAATCAACCCCCCCCCCCCCCCCCTCTTGTTACTAGTTACATAAAAGATAAATATTCTTTTCCCTGTGGATACGAACCTTACTACACTATACTACATATAAGTGTTGTATTAAATTTATTTATTTTGAGTGCACACCACGACAAAGTGCACGTCAAATATAATTAGAGTTTTGAAAAGTATCATATAGACTTAAAATACTAAATACTAAATGAAGGTTACGAATTACACAAACAAAACTCCGTTTTGAATTGATCATATATTCATGTATTTAATTCGGTTTGAATCCGTTTTTAACTCTATTTGAATATAACTAGAGTATATAAAAGTATCATATAGACTTAAAATACTAAAAGGGTTAGGGAGACCTTATTTATAGAAAAGATAAGAGGGGAAAAATCACAATTCTGGTCGATGTGGGAAATTTCCGCGCTTAACTCGGGGCTACGCACGATCGTGCGTCCCTGGCTACGCACGATCGTGCGTAGCAGGCAGTAGCTCATCCGTGATTTTGTAACTGACGCACGATCGTGCGTCCGTATTTTTCAGCCTTTTATCTTATTTTCTTGCTCCAACCGCTCCCCGGATGCAAACGAGGTCGATCCAAATGCTCTTTCTTCATCAAAATTTCGTCATGAATCACCCGGTGACCTCCAAATTTCTCAAATCTCTCTTGAATGCTCTCTAGCTCCTCCCGATTGCCTCTCAAGCGCCGATTGCCGGACTCTAACTTCTTCAATTTGACTCCAAATGCCACAGAACTCGACCCAACGCCTGGTAATCACAACTTGAGCTAAAATTGAGACTTGCAACACTCTAAAGCAAGGAAAATCATCAAAATCTAATTCCAACACGCATCAAATGAGTGTTGAAATATGAACTTATCATTGCCGAAGGAAGCCCCCCCGTTCATTAAGGAGGTTCTCATATTGGTGTGAACCCCATTTCTATAGAGAATGAGGTAAGCATGTATATGTTACTACTTATTACTAATGTCAGTGTGCACCATGCTTCAATTTATATTGTCTGTGTGTACCGACAGTAAAACTTTTGTGAATTTTCAGCCTGTTGTCGAAGGAAGCCCCCCGTTCATGAAGCAACTATTCATACTTCTGTGAACCCCATTTCTGTAGAGGATGAGGTATCTATGTATATGTTACTACTTGTTAATAATGTCAGTGTGCACCGATGCTTCTGTTTATATTGTCTGTGAGTACCGTAAGTAATACTTGTGTGAATTTTCAGGTTGTTGGCAAACATGTGGAGTATGCGGTGCATGAGATGGCTACGACAACATGTGGAACATGAGGGCAATTTGCGGTGCACCTATGGCGTCTAAATAAGAGCGATGTTTGACACCATTTTATTGACGTTATTAGTGCAAATGAGATTATGTTTTGGGTTGTACAATGTTGTACAATAGTGCAAGGCTTTTTGTACAAGGTTGTACATAGAAATGCCAAACTGTAATGCTTCCATATTTTGTCAACATTTTCATTTTCATGTTTTAGATACGCTATTGTATAGTTTTTGGAATGGAATTGTGTTGTGGTAAGCTTTTGTATAACTGTTTTTTTTGTAACATATTACTAGTCTTTGAAATATAAATATATATATATATGGAATAATTAACGTATTTATAAATATATACAAGATTACATGTAGTAAAGTTTAGCCATGAGATAATATGAGATAATATGTAACATAAATGAAGAACGATATGATTCGTGGAATACGCTTTTTTGTGGCAAAACATAGCCGCCTAAACAACACAACCAATGTCATATTCACAATATCCCTTTCACAAAAAACATGCACAATACTCGTGCAATTACAACACACCCAATGACATATTCAAATCTAAATCTAAATATTGAACACTTGAACTTCCCACCTCATGTCCAACCTCAACAACCGATGAAGCTTGACCCTTTTGTTTGGTAGCCCGTACCTAAAAATTGGAAAAACATTTATTAGTGCACATGAAAAGATAATCCATATTAATATATAAGGAAAAAAAACTTACAGTTTTGGTTTTCTTTCCCTTTTCAAGTGGTCCCTTAAGGCGGTTTTTGCGGGGTGCACCCTTTCTCTTGGAACTTTTCGGGTCAAGAATTGTTTGCGTGAGGGCAGCCTTTACACGTGGGATGGTGTCAGGTAGTTCATTCATCTTACCACAAATAGAAGATTTAGAGATGGAGCTTGTATTTGCACTTATTTGGTCCTCTACCCATTGCATCATAATGTTATACTTCTCCTCATCATCAACAATGGTATTGGCTAGTTTTTCAAAACTCTTGCATAATTGGTGAAACCTAGCTTGTTCCACCGTCGTGACCCAACCATCGTAATTGATTTTAACGCGTGACTACTTTTAAAATATGTGATTAATTCCATAAAAGGCTAATTTAATTTTGTATGTCTATCTCACTTTTGCTTGTAAAGTGATTATATAATTCCATAGTAAGCTAATTAACTCCAAATTTTACTCATGAATATAATGTTTTCAGGAGATTTATTGAATTATAATCTAATAGTAACATATACATGGATACCTCATCCACTCCAGATATGGGGTTCACAGAAGTATGAGAAGCTGCTTGATCAAGTGGGGGGCATTCTTTGCCAAAAGCCTGAAAACTCACACAAGTATTACTTACGGTACTCAAAGACAATATAAACGGAAGCATCGGTGCACACTGACATTATTAATAAGTAGGAACATATATATGGATACCTCATCCTCTACAGAAATGGGGTTCACAGAAGTATGAGAAGCTGCATCATGAAAGGGGGGCTTCCCTCGGCAACAGGCTGAAAATTCACAAAAGTTTTACTGTCGGTACACACACACAATATAAATTGAAGCATCGGTGCACACTGACATTAGTAATAAGTAGTAACATATACATGCTTACCTCATTCTGTACAGAAATGGGGTTCACATCAATATGAGAACCTCCTTCATAAACGGGGGGGGGGGGGGGGGGGGGGGGGCTTCCTTAGGCAACAGGCTGAAAATTCACAAAAGTTTTACTGTTGGTACACACAGACAATATAAATTGAAGCATCGGTTCACACTAACATTAGTAAGAAGTAGTAAGTTATACATGCTTACCTCATCGTCTCCAGAAAGGGGGTTTGCAGCACCGTTTTTATCAGATTTTCCAAATCGTGCAACTGAAACGCCCTGCAATTTAACATGTTAAACAACAATCACAAAGAGTAATATAAAACTCACAAAACCAAGGCTCACATACATAACCAAGGCTCACTAACTGGCTCAAATTATATATAGTGCATTCATATCAAATTATAACAAAGTATAACTAAACTGCCTTGCTGATTCTGAGTTTGTTTTCAAAGATTGATTTCTGGCAGGGAGCAACTATATAGGTCCAAAGAATATTGATGTTTAATATAATTATGATCAATTTCTTTGTTTGTTTGTTTGTTTGTTTGTTTGTTTGTTTGTAAGTACTGAAATCGGTAATATGGCAAATCAAACTCACAGAAACCTTCTACTCAAACCCTAAGATGATATAAATACTGTAATTGAAAGAAGACACATACAACCAATTTCAAAACACAACAAATTGACATTGAAGAAGCGGTAAACATATGTATCACTACATTCAAGTCAAATATTAAAAAGTAAAACAAAAAAAATCAATATTTTTTGAAGTACATATCGTTCGGCCATTTCGGACTGGCTGGTGCGCACCATGTTTGCCGCACTGGGTTTCGGAGAGGCAAGCTCCCACAGCGTTTGAGGACAGATCGAGGGCAGAGATGGAGGCCGCTCGTCTATGGTGGCTGCTCGTCGATGGAGGCTGCTCGTCGTTCCAGAGGCGTTCCACAACGTTTGAAGACGGACGGCTGGGGAGTAGAGCGGTTGCTATACGTTTGTGAGGAAGGCAACACGAGGAGTGGAGGACTTGCTGTGCAAAGTGAGGAAGGCGACGTTGGAAGGGCTGGGGTGAGGGAAAGAGGCGATCAAATTTTGGGGGAGAAGTGAACGTGGGTGTGGGTGAAAGGTGTTTTAGGATGGGGTAAAAAAATTAGAAGGCCTTATATATGGTTAATAATTGATGTTTGTTTTAAACTTTTAATGGGCAAAGCCCAAAATAATTAGAAGTGTTCTAGAGAGAAATGTTCTAGAAAGTTTCTAGAGTGTGAGATTTCTAGAGACATTCTAGAGAATAATTAATAATAGAGTATTCTAGATAAGGAGAATTCTAGAGAACTCTCCACCATTTATTGTGGATGTGAGCAGTATAAATATGTGTAGTTGTGCTCATTTGTAATCAAGCATCAAGCTAAGAAATTCTCAAGCAATAAAATACAAGTTCCCTCTTCTTCCATCCTCTTCTAATTAGCTAAAAGTTTTTCCTACTTGCACAATTATCTTCATAACGTCCTAAAATACTTAGCCTACCTCTAATATTCCAACAGTTTTAATATAGGAGCTCTAAATTTCGTAGAATGTCTTTTACACCTCTGGTGCAGTAGTGGCGCCGCCGTGCTTCTATCCTTATTAGCCAATGAGCTTGACATTCCGGCATCCGTGATCTAAATCTCCTGCGGCATCGAGCTTGTTCCTGGCGGACATATTTTCAGACTCAGAGAAGGATTGAATAAGAGAAAAGAAAGGACGAAAAGAAAATGAAGGAAAATAAGAACTGAAGAAGAAGACTCAGGGCCGGGGACGAAAGAAAGTCACGGTAGGCCGGTGAGAGTGGAAAAAAAAAGTCATATGACCGGGTAACCTGATCAGAACTTGCTAAATTCTAATTTTGACTCTTTTTCTAAAGTCCATCCACTCAATTGAGTGTTTTCTTAGTTGGAGGGCTGATTGACTTTTATGATATACGTGAGTCTATTTGACAGTTTTCCCTAGATTTTTATTAGTTTAACTAGCTTTCAAGCCCGTGCGATGCACGGGCAATATGTAATTTAGCTAATTTGAAATTTAATTTCTATCAGATCACATATAATGTGATTTAAAAGAAAAATAAACTTAGTCTAGGATATTGTGAATAAGCATAATAATGAGGGGATTGAGACTGGGAATGTTGCGCATTTGGAGGAAGGTAAGAATAAGAAGATGGAATATTTTGTGGTGTTGGAGAGTAATTTTGATGAAGAGAAAAATATTGATGATGAGTGTAAGGAGGATATGGCGTATATGGTGAATATTCCCTTGAAGTTTGAGGGTAGGGTGTTCCTCTAGGAATTGAGGTGAGTGGATTCATCACATGCCACTTTAAAAAAATACCTGAAAGGTTAGCACAGAAAAATCCTACAAAAAAAAACTAACTAAAAAAATATCGTTGAAATTAATTAACTCTTAAAACCGACACTGTCCCCGGCAACGACGCCAAAAACTGATGTGAGTTTTCTCGCACTTAAAATAGATTGTAGTAAAGGGTGTAAGTACGAGTATCGTCTCCACAGGGACGGTAAAAGGGAATCAGGAATTAATTAAATTCAGGGACTAAAAAGAAATAAAATAAAATAAATTGTGCGAGATTTGGATTGATGGAAAATTATATTGCAATTGAACGAATAAAATAAATGGGTTCTTTTTAACTAATGACGATAGGGAACAAGGATGGATTCCGGGGCAATCAGATTTCTGGCTGATCAAGCTTAATCACATAAAATTAATTTAATTGAGCCTAGTTAATCAATACTAAGTTCTTACCGCTCTCGCGGCGTAGAGTACAATAATTTAGGGGACCAGCTGATCTCTCATGTGAAAAGATCCTAAACTATTGCCAAAACGATCGAGCGAGCTTACGACCCCTTAATCGCTACTAATCTTTTAGCGAACGATTAAGTGTGTGTGAAGGTGTCTTAGAATAAACTAGATCTCTCTTAATTTATTCTAGAAATGATGACCTAAGTATTACCTTTAGAGTTGTAAAAGACAAAACTATGACTAAAATGGGATTAGACAAAAAAGTGATAAAAAACAATTCGCCCAGCAATCCTTCGGTCCAGAGCTCCATTGCGCCTTCCAGCCTTCTCTCTTCACGAATCAGGATCGCCTTCTCCGCTCCATAGCTCCGTGCGAAAATACAGAGCCACAGTCGCAGACGCCGTGAGAGAGAGCCACCTACGACAATTCCGCTGCCGCCGCTGCACGAGTTCGTATATCCTACACCCGGATGTACAGGTACATCCGGTTTTTTTTGTAATTAGTAGGCTGAAATGTTTCCTTATCCAGCCGCATGCACTACTCCGCCCAGTACTCCACTCGTCCTTATCCAGCCATACTCCACTCAATCCCAGCCAGTTCATGCACGTCTTCATTTATTGTTTTTTTTTTGCTTATTCAATTCTCGTTTCTTCTTTTGTTTTCTTTTATTGTTTGTTCTCTTTTTTTATTTTAACAACCTTCTATTTTAATATTATATTCAATTATTATGAAAATGTAAAATATAAAATATTATTAAATATTTCAGATTATTTTTTTCTTTCTCCAATCAAACTTCCAGCTTAAGTTTTTATTTATCTATTATAAAATATTTTATTTATCAATGTTTTATTTCTCTATTTTAATTTAAGATGAATATTTATTAGTTTAATAAATATTGTGTGATAGTTACAAACGTGAGTTTTGTGTTATACTAAAATGAGTATGGTGAAATAAGTATGCATGAGTAAATAATTATAAAAAGAACTCGATTATATTTGTAATTCGAGAACAAACGACTATAAATTATTTTTTATATAAATTATTTCATTGCCATCATGTGTGCACAAATGAACATTTGAACACATTAGGAAATTCAAACAAGCTTTTGATTTTCGATGCACATTTTGTAAGTTACGTATGCTCATTTGGTGCTGATTTTATGCTCATTTTAAAATGTCATATTAATTCATATTTCAAAATTATCATATTAGGTTCGCATAAGATTTAAATTATATACATGGAAGTAAAGATAATCATGATACGCAATTGCATGTTTTTGATACTCAATAAAGGAGGTTTGATGTTAAATGAAAATGTCTTGATGTTTAACTAATCAAGCTTATGATTTTCATATCATTGCTCATTTGGTAAGTAATGTATGCTCATTTTGTATTGGTGTTATGCTCAATTTAAAATGTTTTGTCAATGCATATCTCAAAATAATTAGACTCCTAATACTCAACATAATAGGTTTGATGCTCATAAAAATTGCATCAACGCTCATTCACCAGAAATCGTGACATGCGAATGTAATGTAATATGACACTTTTTAAATATGCATTGATATGACGTTTTACATATGAGCATAAAATCAATACCAAATGAGATTATGTGACTTACACAATGTGTATTGATATGAAAACTGTAAAGTTTGTTAGTTGAAAATCATGACATTCATGGTTTCTATTAAATGAGCATTAATGAACTTTTACTGAGCATCTGACCAATTCTGTTGAGTATTAAGAGTCTGATATTGAGCATCGAGATCTCTGCTTCATATCTTATATTCACTTTCTTTTTCTTATTTTTTCTTTTATAATAATTATTAAATTATATCTATAATCAACTCCTGTGAAACTTCAATATGTGAATATAATGTAATATAGTACATTTGAAATATACATTGATATGACATTCTAAAAATGAGCATATATGAGTATAAATTGAGCATATGTAACTTACAAAATGAGCATTGATATGAAAATCATAAGTTTTTTTAATTGAGGATCAAGACATTTTCATTGAGCATCAAATCTCTTCCTTGAATATTAGAAACATGTAATCGAGTATCAAGGCATGTGCTCAATCTAGTATGCATTGATATAATTAACATTTTAAAATGAGCATAAATCAAGTACCAAATGAGCACACAAAATGTACCAAATGAGTAATAATATGAAAATCATAAACTTTGTTATTTGAGCATCAAGACATTTTCATTAAACATCAAACCTCTTCTATTGAGTATTAGAAGCATGGAATTTAGTATCATGATCTATGCCTCCATGTGAATCTAATATGAAACTTTTGAAATATACATTAATATGACATTATGAAATGAGCACAAAACCAATTTCAGATGAACATACGTAACTTATAAAATGAGCATAAAAAAGTTCAAAAACTCATTTGAATTCTCTAATGTGCTTAAATGTTCACTTTTGCACATGCATCATAATGAAAAACATATTTATTTTACACTATACTCATTTTAGTATAACACGAAACTCATGTTAGTAATTAGCACATATGAATTAATATTTAATAAACTAATAAATATTCTTCTTAAATTAATAAAGAAAAATAATAAAATAATACTTTAAATATTCATCAGAAATTGAAAATTTGAAATCAATGAATAAGGTGGTTAAAAAAATGGAAAAGGACTTGAAAAAAAAAGGAAAAAGAAACAAAAAAATCTATGTAAAAGGCAAAAGAAAAGAGAGGTAGTGCTCCCTCCACTCACGCAGTCCACTTAGAAGTTACGAAGAATTAAGTTGGCCGGCTAGACTAAAGAGGCGTAGTCCACTTACCCAGGCAAGCAGGGAAGAACACACGGCCGGAAGAATCAGCAAATAATTACAAATATACCGGGTGTACGTACACCCGGGTGTACGGTATAAATTGCCCCGCTGCACCTCTCCTCACTGTCTCCGTCACATTTCTTCTTGACTTCTTCTCTCTTCTTCTCGTCTGCAACCTGATGGAATGAGACCTACCTCAACCTACCTCGCCGCACAAGACACCACCTAGCCACCTCGTCGCACAGCCGCCTCTCCGCATCGTCTCGTTTCTCTGGGGAATGGGGGTTGTAATCCTTCGGATCTATATATGCCATGAGCGATGGGTGAAGGCGACGAGCGACAGAGATAATATGTGATGAGCGACGACGAGCGACGGTGTGGCGAGTGACAAGATCGATTGGAGTTTGACGGTGACGAAGAGCAGCGACTTTGACGAAGATGGAGGCTACGGTGACGGAGATGGGCTGACGGCTAGGATTTTGGCTGGTGGTGCTGGGCTGATGGCTGGGGGCTACAATTGGGGGTTGTGGAAGACGGCTATTGGTTGGGGTAGGTTGGTTGGTTGGTCAGATCTGAGTTTCATTGAGCGACCACAAGCCGCCTATGGCTTCATGGAGACGGTGGTAGGCTGTTGCAGGGGGTATTGTTATGGACAGAGGGTTGTTGCAGGGATTGAGTTGGGATGCTGGGGAGGGGCTGGAACAAGCGAGGAAATGACCAAATCACCGGCTTTTTTTGTCTGACAAGCCAAAATACGGGAGTTGGAGTTAGGGTACTAAAAAACGAGAGTCGGATGTTGGCTTTCCGACTGGAGTTAGGCTGCAAAAAAGTAAAGAAAATAATACAAATGATACAAACTTGTAGTTGGAATTGTCAATTCCAACTGAAGTATATTTTGATTAAAAAATGTTGGAAAGTTCATTTTGAAAATGGTGTCTTTCAAAACAAAAATGTGGGTTGGAAAAAAGAATTCGATCCGACTGGGTGGCTAAAAAAGTTAGTGGACCAATAATTTTAGTTGTGGAGAATTAATAATTCGAAAAGAGTTGCTACACAATAGGAAATTTTAATACTTTATTTACGTTTTCATAAAAATACGTATTGGTTCCTATATAAAGTTAATATGAGGGGGAATTGTATTACGTTTTTATGTACGATAGTATTAAATTATCGGTTTTCTATTACGTTTTGAATATATTGTTATTAAAATATTGGTTTAAATATGTAAATTATATACTCCTCCGTCCCAAAATTAACTTCACATTCACTATTCATTGGCCAACTTAAATAACTCCTAATCTTTTACTCCCTCCGTCCCCAAAAGGTTTGCCAAATTAACTTTTCTTGGTCAATGACATTCGGTTTTGACCAATGATATCTTTTAACACAAAATTATTTTCAGTATGGAAATTATATCAAAATGTTTCTTATTCAAAGTATTTTCATAAAAGTATAAAATTTATAAATTATATACTAATATAATAATTGAAATCATTGTCTAAAGTTAGCAACCATTGACCAAGAAAAATCAATTCGACAAACCTTTTCGGGATGGAGGTAGTACTTTATATATCAAATTTTTATCTATTTTAATTTTTCATTATTAGGCTTTGTAGCGGTTTTAATGTAGTTTCTGAATATGCAAATTTTATTTACTAAAAATAATTCAAGTTTGAACAGGGATAGATCGAGTTGCTTTATCATCAGTCAAGCATCATAAACTGAAAGGGAAGCTGTTTCAGGGACGGAGGTAGTACGTAGGACGGAGTATATATTAATAAATGCTTAAATGTACCATATAGAAATAGTGGTTTTAGGGTGTTTTTTTTTGGACTGAAATTTTCTGGTCTAATATGATCTTATTTTGACCGGTCTGTTTAATTCTAGTCTGGTCTGATCTGAACTAGTCTGGTGTGGTCTGGTAAAGTTTGATCTTTATGTATTTTGGAATTGTTCAAGTTTGGTCTGATCTGGTCTTTTTAAGTCTGGTCTAATCTGATGTGATCTGTTTAAGTCTGGTCTAATCTGGTCTCGCCTGAGACCGAAAACAATCCACATAAAAAAACTCAACCCCATCGGATCTGACCCATCTATAATACTACGTAAAATATAAACAAAATAAATCACATAAAATTGAATCAGATAAATTTTATCTGATAAAAAATCATCAAAAAAAAAATCATCAGGTAAGAGTAGTCCACTGTATTAATCCTGTATTACATTTTTAGAATATTTCAAAATAGTACATTATAATAGTAATGTATTACATAAAAAAGAATGATTTGTTTTAAAGAAATTCAAAATTTACTTTGATTTTGATATATAATAAATGTGTTCGGAATTATGATTGGAATAATTTAAATAAAATGGTTTCGGAATTATTAAAAAAGTGGCAATTTTGAGCAATTATTTAAAGAATATAAAATAAATATTTATGTTTCCCAAATTTACATAATTCGAAGTGGACTAATTAAAAAAGATGAAGTGGAATAATTAAAAAATTAAAAAAGAAGAATGCTGGTCGGATTACTCACTTCCCACAGGATCGAGGTTTTATGACTTTTATCCCATTTATAAAAAAAACTTCTTCTTTCCGGATTCCTCAATTCCGACAGAAGTAATTTTTCGTATTAAAAGAAAAACTAACTCTAGTCGGAATCAGTAGTTCCGGCTCCCCTATTTTCAGAAACCCTTGAAAAAGTCCCTTATTTTGGCACTCCATGTAACCTTTTCCCGTATATTGGGAAATCACCCGGAACAAGCTATGGCGTGCTGCACAGTCTCGCCGGGAAAGATCTTCAGAACATTTTCTAGCGGTCATAGTGACACGTTCAAGATAGTGACATTCATTAAGTGACATGAAAATCCGGGAGTGGCGTCACTATGGTGGCGTCACTATGACGGTGTCACTGTGGCGGTGGTGGCGGCGGTGTAATTGGTGTAATTTTTTTTACTTTGACAACTCTCAGTTACAAGAAAAACGAACACAGTGACATAAATGTTTGCAGTGACATCATGTTTTCTAATTCCAGATATGTGACCTTGTTAATCACTTTTTTGTCAATTTTTAAAAGTACTCACTTTTTTGGAAATTCAGTTAAATTTAGTAATATTAAGGGAATAACCCCTTTATTCTACCAGCAATTGTAATTATAGCGGCTGTTCTAGGTTACAAAAGATATCAATAAAATTATTCAAACACAAATTAAATATCATTCATGCAATTAATCCATCATGAATTTTGCCATACATCTTGATTAATCCCTTCATCAACCCCAAATCTCTAATTAAGACTACTCACAACTCATAATTGAAAAATCAATAGAATCGGGAAGAATAGAATTAATTGCCATTAATTAAAAAGTAGGAACTTACAAATAATCCAAGGGAATTGAAGAACAAGATGGAAAAGTAGAAGAAATTTCGTCCCTGGGCCTCTCTCTAAGCTCCGCAACAAAAAAAAAACGGGGGCATACGGGGTGTTTAAATATAAAACAGATCAATCCAGGCCGAAATAGGACTCCTGGGGGCGAAAAAACTGCCACGCACGCGTGCGTCCCCCCACACGCACGCGTGCGTGGGTGGCAGTAGCTCCCTCGCGATTCCTTCAGCACGCACGGCGTGCTTAATTCTGGGCAGGACCGTGCGTGACTTTATCTTCCGAACTCGACGACGCTTCCTTCATGAAAGTTGTAGATAATGAAGTCATATATCCACCACAACTTGAAAAACCGGATTTGGATCATCCAGTCAAAAGATATGAATAAAATGGTGGAAGGTCGCATTCTGAAATTGCAACAGCGATCATCTGACGTCATCGTCTGTTTTCACCTTCTTCCTCTTAGATTATCGCAATTGTGTCTTCATATGATTTGTAGCCCTTGAAGTTGGATTTCAGATTCAACTTGAATCGTGTCCTTTAGATGCTTCTACAAAGATATATGCTTGAACGATTGACAAAAGGTCATCCTGATCGTCGTTTTCAAGCTCTATTTGTCTTCTTTTGATCCCGTAGCCAATCCTAGAGCTCTTTTGTCATCAATTCTTCATTGTGAACATCCCGGTGACCTCCCAATCTCTCAATTCACTCTCGAATGCTTCTCAAATCGTCTCTTTTGCTCCTCAAGCGCCGGTGCCGAATTCTAAATTCCTGATTTTGACTCCAAACAACACAAAACTCGAACCAACGCCCGATAAACATAACTTGAGCTAAAATTGAGACTTGCAACACCTTAAAGCTAGGTAAATCATCAAAAGACGATCCCAACACGCATCAAATGCGTGTCTAAATAGGGACTTATCACCCCCCCTTCTATTTCTTCTTCTACCCTTTTTATTCTTCGTCTTGAAGTTAGGAATTCCGGTGAAGACTCGAAGATGTCAGCTTGGGCGGAGGAGGTCTTCATCTTCCAGATTCCACGTCATTGGTTCCAGTATTCACCGATAACGACGAGAATTTGCTCGAGTAGGCGACTAACGACGGCAAGGACGAGCTCAAAATTCCGGTATACTTCTTCTACCCTCCCGCGATGATGGCGGTTAACAGAAAAGCTTCGTATTCCGGCGTTCTTCTTCTACATTTCGGGAAAGGATGGCGTTTTTGTTAGAATGTAAACTTGATTTTGGGCTAAGTTAATAATTGATGTTTGTTGTCATGGGCAAAGCCCAAAATAATTAGGAGTGTTCTGAAGAGAAATGTTCTAGAAAGTTTCTAGAGTGTGAGACTTCTAGAGACATTCTAGAGAATAATTAATAATAGAGTATTCTAGATAAGGAGAATTCTAGAGAACTCTCCACCATTTATTGTGGATGTGAGTAGTATAAATATGTGTAGTTGTGCTCATTTGTAATCAAGCATCAAGCTAAGAAATCCTCAAGCAATAAAATACAAGTTCTCTCTTCTTCCATCCTCTTCTAATTAGCTAAAAGCTTTTCCTACTTACACAATTATCTTCATAACGTCCTAAAATACTTAGCTCTACCTCTAATATTCCAACAAATTGGTATCAGAGCCATGGCTAACGGGACGCAATCCTTTCAATTTCCTCGCCTAACTAAAGATAACTATACTACTTGGTGCATCCGAATGAAGGCGATACTAGACTCACAAAAGGTGTGGGATTTGGTTTTGAATGGCTACCACTAGTGGAAAAACATTAATTAGAGGTGCTTCATTTGAGGCGCTTTAAACAGAAAGCCCCTCATTTGTTGTAAAAAACGAATTTTGGACACGTGCGGCGCTTCTTGACATCTAAGTGCCTGTAATATATATATATTTTTAACTTTCGTCCCGCGTGCAGCGCTTCTAAAAAAAGAAGCGCCTCTAATAAAAACAAAATAAAAAATTGCGGAAGGCGTGCGGAATAAAAGAAGTGCCTCCAATCATAAAATTTAAAAATTACAACGGAAGGCGTGCGGCGCTTTAATTATTAAGCGCCTCGAATAGGTTTGAAATTTTTAACCTAGCGCTCGATCAATTCTCTTTGTTCCTTAGGCGGCAAAAAAATGGAAGGCCGCAGCTTCTACGACCAGCGGCGTATAAGCCGTACAACGACCCGGCCCGGCGCTTCTACGACTTTGTTTCGAAAACGATGACCAGCGGCCGATAGAGACCACCGCAGCCGTATCCCCTGCCTCTCCGGAGCTGTGCTGCGACGACTGTGAGCCTTCCTACCCCACGCCATAAAGCGACCTCGACCCTCTGCGACTGACCTTTGAAGAACTACTGCGACGAGGGGCTGTGACGGAGAGTTCCGATGACCCACGAGTTCACGTCCTAGTCGCAGCTCTGCCGCCGCTGTGGACACTCAATTTGGACATCTTCTGCAGCCTCTTCACCTCCTAGCCACTGCTCTACCGCCACTGGGGGCTTTGACTACGGACATCGTCGTAGGCCGACTCTTAAACTAGGTCAGCAACGTAATCTTTAATCTTTAATCCTCTGTTGTTAATAATTTCAATTTATATTTGTTTTATGGTTAAAATATTCTGATTTTTAGTTTTATTTGGTAATAACTTTCTATTTTTGTAGGACTTTTATATTATTTTAATCTGAAATTATTTTATTTTATATTCAAGGCATGATGATACCTTTTAGTTATATATATACAAACTTATGTTAATATGTGA